GCATGGAGGGGATTGTAACCATGGCAATGATACGATGTACGATAGAATGAATGTAAAACTAATGTTCTCCCATGTAAACTATCATATAATTTAAAATAAAACACTTAAAAAAAAAAAAACAAATAAAATATCTCGCACTGAAAGCTTGGTTTGAACTACCAGGTCCGTGGTGTAAACTCACCAACTGCTCCTCAGAAACTCTGGGCAGGGTTGCTATGAGTTGAAACTGACTTGACAACACTTAATAACAACAAAAACACACATCTATGCATTTATGTCCCATTAGATAAACAGCTTTATCTGAGATGGTGAGAGCCAGTCTTCTGCGTCCCAGCAGCACTGCCCGCAGGCTCAGGCATCAGTGGCCTGGACATTTGGACAATGAGCTGAAGGATCATTATTACATATTAAAACCTAAAAAGAACCTATATCTGAAAAGGTGCAAAATTAAATCGCACTTACATTCGACATTTTCTGGAAACTTTCTATGAATATCTTTATAAGTGTCCAGTGCTTTTTGGTAGTTACCTGTAAACAATAAAAACAAACATATATACTAGCAGATTACAGAAATTAACAGAACTCTGAAAAATATTATTTTTAACCTAATATATTAGCTGCTTTATCAGTTTGGTAGGAAGGCTGCTTGTTTGCCACAAGCATCCTGGTATGGCATTACGGGTTAATGCGCTGGACTACAAGGGTGGTTTGAATTGCAAGGGCAGAGGTTCAACCTCACCAGTCACTCCTTGGAAACCTTATACAGGGTTGTTATGAGTCGGAATGGACTTGACGGCACTTAACAACAACAACAACAACAATATAACTTCTATAAGGAAAATTTACAAATAAAATGTGAAAAACAATAGAAGACACGAATGATAGTTGAAACTTAGTTACACGTCTTAAAATAAGTATTTTAGTGGCAAAAAATCAAGACCCATTCATTTTCCTAACAAAGATGTTTGTAGATGAATTGAAAAAAATTTAAATTGAAGTTATATCAAAGTTAATTTTAATGTTACCCATTTAATTGGAAAAGACAATAATAAATTTTTTTTTAGTTTTGATTTGGAAATACCATTATATAGAAAGCAATTTGTTTGATAATAAATTCGATTCAGGCAGCAGGAAATAATAAAAAGTGAGCATTTGTTGTTATTAAGTGCCTTCAAGTCAGTTCCGACTCACAGCGACCTGGTATAGGGTTTCTGAGAAACAGCTGGTGAGCTCGAACTACCGACCTTGTGGTTCAAACAGACTTTGCAGCCCAGTGCATTACAGTGCCACGCCAGGATTCCAGTGAGTATATTTTCAAACATGAGTATCTTTGCAAAAGTCTCAATTAAGAACATCATACATCTCTCAGAATGTCATTATAAAACAGGATGGCTGTCCTATCACCTTAAAGAGTTGCTGTGAAGAGTGAGACACAATCAAGACATGAAGTCTCAACAAACGTTACTGTGTCCTCGTCTTACTGGGACTCTAATCCTCCAAGCTGATTAACGTTTCTAAATCGATCAGAGTAGCTTATATTTATATAAATACACAGGGGCTTCAAACATTTGTGGAGAAAAGGAATCAAAGGATAACCAACATCTCCCACAAATTTTCTGAAGCCCCCTCCTATATGTAACTGCTGCTGAGTGGGACACAGGTAATTCAGAACTGTTGTTGATGTAAATCAAATAGACACAATATAGTCAAGTTGTGTATATAGTAAAGTTCAAAATCAAGGCCTTGAATGATGTAATAACTACATTTTGTTGTTGTTAAGTGCTGTTGTGTCGACTCTGACCCATAGTGACTCTGTCTGTATAGCGTTTCCGAGGAGCGACTGGTGAGCTTGAACAGCCAACCTTGTGGTTCAAACTCACTTTGCAGTCCGGCACATTTACCCACAGTGCCGCACCAGGACTCCTAATAACTACACTAAGTAAGTATTAAAACATTTTGGATAGCATTTGAAGAAGCTCGCAGAGATTAAAAAAGAAACTTCCTTCTAGAAACTTGGTGAAAACACATCTCCAGTATCTTAATAATTTGAACTTTCTTTGGACTAAAGAATTTCTTTCCAGGTAGGGTCAATTTTTGTTCTACAAAAGGGATTACAAATTTGTTAAATTTATCTCCCGGCTTAATCTCTAATACTTTCCCATATCATCCACTTCATAATTAGTCCAAACTGATTAGCGGTAATCTACTTGATGACAAGTGTCATCAGTACCGTGTGTAATGAAAGCAGCGACAGGAGAAACAAACCAAGCCAGCTTGTCTTGCTTGGTATTAAAATCCATAGTCCTAACTTTAGACTTTCCTTAGGCTGTTTAGGTGATCTGGATAGCAGAGGCCTCAGAACACACAAGGACATTTAAAATGAGGTGAGGGGTGGTGGTGTGCCGTGGAGGCAGTTCTGACTCACAGCAACTCTGTATAGGGTTTCTGAGGCTGTAAATCTTTATGTGAGCAAAGAGCCTCATCTGTCTCCCCTGGAATTGCTGATAGTTTAGAACTGTTGACAGTGAGATTAGCATCCTGACTTGTAACCACTATGCTTCCAGAGAACCTAAAGGTGAGTAGAAAATAGAAATAAAACTGAATGTCTATTTACCATTATGGACAAACTGTGAAAATGATTACATGCTAACTTTGAGAAATATTGAGGGATATTTTGGATAATGAATATAGTATTTTTAATAATGGTACTGGAATACACGAATAACATCTGCTTTGTAAACATAACTGTTTCTGCATGTAATAATTATGTTTTCCACATAATAGTTCAGATATGCATAGTTACTTAACGTTTGTATTTTAATAAACAAATATGCAATTAGAACACATTTATATGCATAATTTCTAAAACAATATAGACACAAATATTAAAAGTGAATAAAATTAAAAGCATTTACCGCTTCTTCTAAAACAACTAGCTACCATCAGCTGCCATTTCACTTGGGTAGGCCTGTAAGCAAATCAATGACAAGACATTAGGAATAAAACAGAAAGAGCTGTGGTGTTTAACAGTTCTGCATACCAAATATCTATACCACCTTGCAGTTTCTGACCATTTCTAAGATCACTATTGCTGAAAATACGATAGACCAGTTTTGAAATTTCTGACAGATTTGCATTTAAATCTCTGGTGTGGCACTGTACGATAAACAGTGGACTGCTAACTGCAAGGTCAGAGGTTCAAACCCACAAGTTGCTCCTTGGAAACACTATACAGGGCCGCTATAAGTCAGAACTGACTCTACAGCACACAGCAACAACTTGTGAGCTATGTCTCTAGGCAAGATACGTAACTTCAAACCCATGACCTACGCAGTCACCCACAGTGATCTAAAGAAGCCGCACATCTAACTCTACTACCAACCTCGCTCCTCCCTTCTACCAAAGTCGGGATCTAACCCCTTACTTCCCTTCCAAATCACCTGCCTCCACTCTGCCTAGCACTGTATGTTTCCTGTGGACTTTACGTTTTCTAGACTCCCAGACTTTGCCATCCCTTTCATCTAAGTTCATTCCAATTCCTTTACTCTCTTCTGTCCCAGACTGAATCAGACTCTTCTATGTGCTCCCATAATCTCCTTGGATCTGTTTAGCACTGCAATTACAATACTGTTTTATTATTTGTTGATGATTATGAATCCGTCATCAAACTGTGTATTCCTAGAGGATGTTAAGTCATTGTTAAGTGCCACTGAGTCAATTCTGACTCATAGTGACCCTGTATAGGGTTTCTGAGGAGCAGCTGGTGAGCTAGACCCGATGACCTTGTGGTTCAAACTAACTCTGCAGTCCAGCGCATCAACCCACTGCAGAAATCTTTGTATCCCTGGGTCCAGCATAGTGCCCGATACTGGGAATGGATTAATCTCTCTCATTGCTGCTTCTTCACATATCCAAGTATATGTCTCATCTGTAAACTATGGATAACAATAGTACTTAAGATGATACATATACACACTAAATGTAACCAATAAACAATAGTTATTAGTATTGCTAAGCTGGTTCTGACTCATAGTGACCCTGCATAGGGTTTCTGAGGAGTGGCTAGTGGGCTTGAACCACTGACTTTTAGGTTAGCTGTCCAGTGCTTCACCTATAGCGCCCCACCAGGGCTATTATAACCTATTATAACCATTTATTTAGTTGCTTCTGAGGAAAGTTATGTTTCATGTATGCCCTCTATTGGGAAATTCCAAAGAACATCTATAAGAGTAGCTGTTGTTGTTGTTGTTGTTGTCAGGTGCCATCGAGTC